CATTGCTCTTTTATCTTGTTGATTGTTTCCTTTGCTGTTCAGGAACTTTGTAGTTTGATGTAGTCTTATTTATTTTTACTTTTGTTGTCTGTGCTTTTGGTGTCAAATCCAAAAAATTATTGCCAAGACCATGTCAAGGAGCTTTTCTCCTGTGTTTTCTTCTAGACATTTTGTGTTTTCAGGTCTTATGTTTAAGTCTTTAATCCATTTTGAGTTGATTTTTGCATGTGGTATAAGATAATGATCCACTTTTATTCCTTTGAATGTGGCTATCCAGTTTTCTCAACAACATTTATTGAAGAAACGATTCTTTTTCTGTTGGTTATTCTTGGCACTTTTGTTGAGAGTCAGTTGACTGTATATGTGTGGATTTATTTTTGAGCTCTCTATTCTGTTCCATTGTTCTATGTGTCTGTTTTCATGTCAGAATCATACTATTTCAACTACCTTAGCTTTGTAATATAACTTGAAATCAGAAAGTATGATGTCTCCAGCATTTTTCTTCTTTCTCAAGATTACTTTAGCTATTTGGGGTTGTTTGTGGTTCTACAGAGCTGGGGTCTGTACAGAACGCACATGTCAGTTGTATCCAGGCGTTAGGTGAAGATATAACTGTTGTCTATAAAGGGACACATAGGGGGATTTATAGAGTGATGGAAGTATTCTGCATGGTATTGGGATAGCAGATACATGAATGAATGTATTTTTCAAATTCTATAGAACTATACATTACTCAATAAGAGTGAAATTTAATGTTTACAAGTAAAAAAAATCAACCTGGACGTTGGGAGGACCACAGGACAAAATGCAGACTATTGGAAAAGAATCTAACCCACTGAATGGGGAGGGAAAAAAAGGCTGACATAAGTAATGTTGGAAAATGTGTTGACTGGAAGCTATCAACTACACAGGCTAACAATAAAAGGAACTTTACAAAAAGACTGTACTCCAATTGGTAAAGTTGTTGCTCACAAGGGTACTGGTAAATAATTTTGGAATGGCTTTACTTGCATACTGGAGTTGAACAAATAAACAAGACTTGTTCAGAGAAGTCAGGCAGAGAGCTGAAATAAAATGGATTATATTAGAAACTTTAATACAAAATTATGTTTAGTATGTTCTCTCTCTCTCTCTATCTCTCTACATATGAATTGACATAGAAAGAAGTAAAGATTTGGTAGATTTGTGTGTAAACACGGATACATATATACACACCTATATTTTCTAGCTCTGTCTGCTTAGAAGGCCTGGAAGTGACCCCCAGTAGCAATGAGTATACCCAGATCTTGTCTCTTAAATATCATTCTCTAATAAATGGAAGCAGGACTCTGAATACTTAACTAAATTTAGGGCTGGAACAGGAAAAAAGTAAGACTAGCCTAGAGCACCTTGTAGTTTCAGAAGGAAAAAAGCAAAACAAAACAAAATCCAAAAACAAGAGGATTGGGGCATATCAAAATGAAACACAAGTCAAACTGAAAGTGTCCCAATGGCCAAAGATGGAAGAAGTTGACCAAAAAAATAAATAATATAGTACTGACTTATAACCAGAGCGTAAAACAAAAATAAATGAGGCCATGCTGATAAAAACGGATGAACAAACAAACAAACAACGTGAAGGGAAGAGATTTAATTCTTTTAGAAGAAGTCTAAATAATATATTTAGGACCTCCTCGCCCAGGAGGGTTCGCGTTGGCCTAGTGTTCATTTCCCAGACAAAGAAACACACAACCCTTCCGTCAGTTTTCATACTGTGGCAGCTGCATGTTGCTCTGCAGCTGAAAACTATGCCACCAGTATTTCAAATGCCAGCAGGGTCACCCACAGTTGACAGGTTTCAGCGGAGTTTCTAGACTAAGACAGACTAGGAAGAAGGACTTGGTCACACACTTCTGAAAAAAATTGGCCATGAAAACCCTATGCATAGCAGCGGAGCATTGTCTGATACAGCGCTGGAAGGTGAGAGGATGGAGCAAAAAGACTGCACAGGATTCTGCTCTACTGTTCACAGGGACACTGGGAGTTGGATCGACTCAACTCCAGGGCACTAACAACAACCCCAGGAGGGGACATGTACTACCCAGCCACCTTGAGTGTGGCCTGGATTTTGTGACTAGCTTACAAAGAATAGAGTATAGAACATGGAAAACAAGTAACTTACAATAAAAAAACTGGCAAAAATATCTTGGTCAGGTGACCAAGGTTAACATCCCCAGTGACAAGTCATGTTGGTCACATATGTCCCCTGATAGGATATGGTGAGAAGGGCACTTCTTACGCTTCCTCAAAACCTATAACCTCTGTCTAATCATGAGAAAGAAAATCAAACAAACACAAAGTACCTGACTAATATTCTTGAAGCTATTAAGGAAATAAAAAAAATAAAATAAAGACTGAGAAACTGTTACAGATCAGAGGATACTAAGGAGACACGGCAACTCTGTGCAATGTTGTTTCCTGGACTGGATCTTGGAAGAGAAAAAGGACATTAGTTGAAAAATAATAAAATATGACTAAATTATTGAAGTTTAAATAGTAGTGATATGCCATTGTTAGTTTCTTAGTTTTGACAGATGTGTCACAAGAAAGTCAGATGTTAACAATAGGGGAAGCTAGGCAAAAGATCTGCAGGACTTGTCTGTAATATCATAAAAATTTTTTTGAAATCTAAAATTATTCTAAAATTTAATAATATATTTAAAATTATCATTACTAAACATTTCCAGGAGCAGAAAACACCATTTTGATAGACTTTGGGCCCAGAAGGGGGTATTTGTTTTACCCCACACTGTCCTTGCTAATATCAGCATGTCCCTCTTAGGGCATTCAAGCACAGCTTTATAAATCTTGAGATGTTGAATCTTTCTAGTTTTATAAAAATGGGAAAGAATTCATGAGTGCAAATTCCTTTGGATAGCTTTAGTATAAAATGGAATTCATCTGAGGATCAAAATAGAAAACATAATTATTGTATATTATATTAGCATATTGAGGTAGGATATGTTTATTGTCATAAAGTAACATCATGCTTACATTTTCTAAGGATGTTTAGAGTTGTTGGAGTTAAATACATCATCAATATGTATGAAGAAATTTTGAAAATTGAATCAAGTCGGAAACTTACTATAGTCACATATTTTGTCTTTTTTGTGTGTATGTGTGTGAGGAAGATCATCCCTGAGCTAACATCTGCCAATCCTTCCTCTTTTTGCTGAGGAAGACTGGCCCTGGGCTAACATCCATGCCTATCTTCCTCCACTTTATATGATATGCGGCCACAGCATGGCTTGACAAGCGGTGCGTCGGTGCGCGCCCGGGATCCGAACCGGCGAACCCTGGGCCACCGCAGCGGAGCACAAGCACTTAACCGCTTGCGCCACCGGGCCGGCCCCACGTGTTTTGTCTTTTTATGATTGACTAAAGAGAATTTATATCATGTATTATTTGCCCCTTAATGAGAAAATCCTAATAAAAAAAATTAAGATGGTTATATATTACCCACTGGATAGTGTGATTTTCAAAAAATTAAATATTCCAAAAGTAGGGGAGTGCAAGTAGGGAGTAAGAAAATAGAAGAAAATACTAGGTACATCTCATGGAATGCTTTGGCATTATTTTGTAAAGAATTATATAATAGCCAATGAACTAAATGATTAGTGGTTCAAATATATGGACTCCTGGACTAATGGCTTAATTGATTAATGGATTTATTAATTTAACAAATTTTTACTGAGAAATTAGTATGAACCAGGCCATAATTTATGTATTGGGGAGTAAGTTGTTAGTAAAGAAGCAATGTCGCTCCGCTAGTGTAGTGTATGTTCTAGGTAGGGAGATAGATGAACAGGTGAAGAAATAAATTCATAATAATAATAGTGATAACAATAGTTCAGTACTGATCAAGACTAATAAAGCAAGGAGGGAACAGTGTCCATTGAGGTGGGAGTGACTATGATATGGTAATATTTAAGTAAAGACCTGAAGGAAGTGAGGGAGCTTTCTGAGCACTAGCAACAGCAAGTGTAAAGACCCTGAGGGAGGAGCATGCTTGGAGTTGTCCAGGAACAGCAAGGAACTGAGTGATGGAAGTGGAGTGAACGAGTAGGAGAGTAGTAAGACATGATGTAGCTCATCTAAAACTAAAGTATCCATGCATGAGTGTTAATAGCTGTTCCATAGTATTTCCAGAGGAAACAAAGAATAACTTTATCATTATTCAGTGCATTTTTTTTTACAAAGTTGAAGAGTTGGTAGTCATACACAAAAAAATTGAAAAATTCCTTTATTATCAATTGATCCCTTTTTCTTGAAGTCTGGTCTTCTTGCTTTTGAAAATTATCATGTAATCGTACATTCTACCAAATGACTTACTGAAGACAGAAATATTAACTCCTTCAAGATGCTATACTTACATAGCTCTGAAAAAATATGCCAAAAAAAAGAATATACCTTTATTAAAAATCTGTATCATGTTTTTTCTTATTGTGGATTCTTGGAAAAATTTTTTTTAGTTAGAGAAATAAAAACTGTTAGACATAAATTTATATTCTGCTACCACAATTAATTATTTTAACTTTTTTATTAAAAACTACACATATCCCTTTAACTAAAGAGTACCACCTTAGCAAATTTCACACTCTTGTGTGTATGTGCACACATAGGATCCTTGCAAACACTTCTATTCATGACTTTGAGCTCTGTTTTACAAATAAACTTGCAATGGTTTGTGATATAGAAAATGTGAACATACGAAAAAATCAAATATAATTAATAAGATGTATGAAAAGCAGGATCTAAAAATTTTTAAGATGCCTTCTGGTCATCCTCATTCAGATATTATATATCTGTACATATTAATTTCTTTTTTCTAGGATACAGACTTCTGAAGAAGAAGGGGTATTACCTCAGTAAGTTAAATGTAGTGTGGGCCATAAATCATGAGTTAATGCATGAAGAAGATCTGACAGGAACGAAACTAGGTTATTGTGGATCCTAAAACTTTAAGAGGTGAGTCCTAGAGACAATTTCGCCTTCTCAACAACCTTCTTTAAAGCACTCTTGACATCTTTGTTCCTCAGGCTGTAGACCACAGGGTTCAGCATGGGGATAACCATTGTATAGAACACAGATGCGATTTTGTCTGTGTCCATGGAATGACTGGAGCCGGGCTGGGAGTACATAAAGATGACTGTCCCATAGAAAATGGAGACTGCAGTGAGGTGAGAAGCACAGGTGGATAAAGCCTTCCAGTATCCCTCAACTGAGGGCATTTTTAGGATGGTGACAAATACAAACAGGTAGGAAATCAAGATTACAAGGAGAGCAAAAAAGATGTTGAAGCTTGCTAGAACAACAAAGATCACCTCACTAATACGTCTGTCAGAGCAAGAGAGGGCCATGACAGCTGGAACATCACAGAAAAAGTGATGGACCATATTGGACTTGCAGAAAGAAAGACTGAATATGTCTCCAACATAGAAGCAGGCATTCAGGAAACCACAGATATAGGAGCCTAGAGCCAACTGTGTAAACACACTTGTCGTCATGGTGGTGGTGTAATGTAGGGGTTTACATATTGCTGCATAGCGATCATAGGCCATTGAGGCCAAGAGGTAACTTTCCACAGTGGCAAAGACTGCAAAGAAGAACATCTGAGCAGCACACTCATTGTAGGAGATGACCTTGTCTCCTAAAAGGAGCCCAGCCATCACCTTGGGAGTGACAGCTGTAGAGTAACAAATGTCCACCAGAGACAAGTTACTAAGGAAAAAGTACATGGGAGTGTGGAGACGAGAGTCCAAGAGAATCAACAGGATCATCCCCAGGTTTCCAACCACATTGATGAGATAAATGAGAGTGAAAATGGTAAAGAGGGGCACCTGCAGTTCTAGGACATTGGTTAGTCCTAGCAGGATGAACTCAGTCACTTCTGTATTGTTCTCCATGATGTTATTTGGGAATCACAGGTTGCCCTGTAGCAATGAGAAATAAAAGAACAGAGTGACAAACAAATAAGAGGTTGAGGTAAAATTCATTTAATATTTTATATATGTGTATTTTTTTTCATTATAGGAATAATTTATTTGGCAAGATTCTCCAGGTCTAAAGTATATACTAGACAATAAAGTTTAAGGCTCAAATTATCTGTACAGTTTGATGCTTTTGAAGCTGAAATATCTTCATGGATCATTTTCCAACTTTTAAATTTTGTAAATTTGTAAACCGAAATGTAGAAAAGGTAATGTCTTGATTAAGATAAATTGTCTTGAATGACTGTATCTGTCAGTTAAGTTTTTCTGAGCCTAGTAAATGCTTAGATCTATATTGCTCATGTGCAGGAAACTGCTCAAGACATTTTACATGTATATTCATTTATTACTCTTACTCTCAACAATCCTATGAGACTGATTAATTGAAGTATAGAGGTTGGGTAAGTTCACAAAATTAAGTTTACAAAATTAGTACTGCCAAAGCCAACCCCTGTACCCAGGCAGAGTTATTCCCAAGTCTACCGGTCTCAACTGAATTTAAATCAAATTGAATTTAATTCAATTTACAATTACCTTATGTCTCTAAAGTTCTAAACTCAGTGTTTGGAATTTGACAGTGAAGTAACTTAGAAATGTATGCATAGTGCATGTGGTGGTATAACGGGAGCAGTAGGGGCATGCACATAGAGGCAGTTCTGAGGGGAAGGCATAGCATTGAGTAAAAAGCTTGGGTTCTGGGGTGAGGTGCATATCAGCCCTATGACTCACTAGCTAGGAGTCATTGGTCCTAGCCTAACTCCCCTGAACCTGATTTTCTTCAACTACTAAATGAAAATAGTAATGAGACCTAACTCAAGGTATTATTGTAAGAATTAAATGATAGTGCATAAAAAACAATGAGTAAAATGCTGAGTATTTAGCACAGTCTACTTAAAGTTAGATATTGTATGAGGATCAGGATTAGGATTAGGATGGATGAGAGCCTCTGTATTTGTTTGAGAAAGGTGGATGGTGAAATGCAAGGCTCCAGTGTTGATGCGTTTTTTAGTCTTGTAGCCTCTCTCTTCAATTTGCTTTTTTTCACACACTTGGTCCACTGAGATTTTCTGTGTCTCCAGTGTTTCTCAGTCTGTCCCTCTCTGTCCACATGAGTGGATGTTCTAGCCATTTCATGTGGGACATTCTTTTGCTTAATTTCTTCCTTAAAATTCAAATTTTAACTTGAGTTGAAAGGGTATTCTTTCTTAAATTCATTCTTTCTCTCATTACTGTTATCCCATAGTTGAATCACAGAGATCAATGGATGAAAGTTCCTAGTTTGTTGGCTAGAGATCTGTTTTGTTAATGCTTTAAAATTTTCTATTTGAATCTATTCTAGTGTAGGAACAGTGTTTATTAATCTTTTTCTTTGACTTTGAAGCCTTTAGAAGGGCATCTAATTATTGTTTTACAAATCCTCCCTAATCCTGGCACAGCTTTCATAACTTCACTTTATATGCCTAGCCCATAAAATCATCACGTTTGCCAACGTTTGACATCACAACCACTTGTAGAATATACTGCGTTCTACAATCAATAATCAATCTATATGTATTTTTATATATATGTGTGTCTTTTATTATATCTTTTATTTAATGCTCACAACAATGTTATAAAGTAAGTGGTACTGTTAATCCCATTTTACCATTAACAGAACTGATGATTTGAGAAACTATGTAAAGCCCTACGATTAATAGCCAGTGTGAGAAAAATTCAAGATTTAAGATTCAAACCCAGCTGTGATCAAATCAAAAGCCTTTGCCTTTAGCCACCTCACTGTGAGCATTTATAGATGTGTTAGTAATAATAAGAGTGGGATTATGAGGAAAAGGTTACAGTGAAGTATGTATCTTGCCAATTCAAGAGGGTTTATTTCACACTTTTTTTTTAACCTTCACTGAGAGATCAAAAGATAGTGAATAAGATGAAATTAATGCCTACTCAGTCAGACAATCATCTATCCATTTTTGTTTTACTTATCTCTTTTAGGAAAGCAGTGTGATAATGTTTCAGAAGCATCACTAAACTCCCTACTGATGGAAGTATTGACACTTATGTATAGCCTCAACTCACTGCTGTATCAAAATATTCACAAAATCTATTTCTGTGCTTAAATAACTCATAAGAGGTATAGCTGCCCCATTGCTTTTGCATGAATTACACTTCTCATTAAAAGTGTCTATGGATTATAGAAGCTTACCTGGAAAAGAAGGGGCAGTCAATCCTGAATAGTGAGTCCAAAATCAGAAATTCAGCCATAGAATAATTCACACATGTCATGAGAGAGGCTGTCTATGATGTACTGGCCAGGAATTTCCAAAGTCTCTAAGGCAAGTAGACATGAGGGGAAGAAGACACATAGAGCCAGGAACGTGTGTTCAAGTACTGAATTCACCATGCATTTTCTGTGTACCCTTGGAGGAATCTCTTATCTTCTTCTTATCTGTAAAATAAACAATAAAATTACATCTCCCACATAATTCAAGGAATTGTGTCTGTGAATAGCAAATGAGGGAAACACTATAAAACGCCTTGCTGAGGGTTTATCATTTTAAAGTCAACCAATATAATTTTCATCTCGAGGTGTTCCTCCTGGCTATGATTAGGGGTTCATAGCAAATCCTCAGGTCAGGATTTGGGCATGGGAGGAAAGTGCTCTATGCACTAATCACTCTTAACATTCAGACGGATAAATGATGGCCAAAGGACTCAGCACACAGCTGATCCTTCCAAAATAATGTCACATTGAAGTACATTGGAATTTTAGAGGCTAATCATGGGAACCAAGAAGGAATTATAGAGACATGGAGCTCACCAGGGATATCTCCTATGAGGATATCTATACCTTTTATCCCACTTTCCTAGGGAAAAAGCAGTTAAATTGCCTGTGGAGACCTAGCTGGATATGTTGAGGGTGCACGTACGTGTGTATTAATTATTACTATTTCTTTTTTCTCTCACTTTCCAATTAAAGTATAATTTACAAACAGTAATATCTACCATTTTTAGTGTATAGTTCTAACAACATAGTCAAGTTTATACCGCATAACCACTAGCACAATCACAATGTAGAAGAGTTCCATCATCTAAACAAAATCTCCGATCTTCTTTGTGGTCAAACTCTTCTGCTACTCAGTGCCCATGGCAATTGCTAACCTATGTTCTGTTCGTATCTTTTTGCCTTTGCAAGAATTTCACTTAAATAAAATCCTAGCAGATGTAGCCTTTGACTCTGTTTTCTTTCAGGTAGCATGAGGCATTTGAGATCCATCCATATTGTTACCTGTATTAATTTCCTAGAGCTTCCATCAAAAATACCATAAACTAGATGGCTTAAACAAAGGAAATGTATTGTCTCAGATTTCTGGAGGCAAGACGTCTGAGATCAAGGTTTAGGCAAGCTGTTGGTTCCTTCTGAAGGCTGTAAGAGAGAATCTGTTTCATGTTTTTCTTTTTAACTACTGGGTGGTTTGCTGACAATCTTCGGTGTTCCTTGACTTCCGCTGCATTATCCCAATCTCTATCTTCATCTTCACATAGTGTTCTCCCTGTGTGTACGTATATATGTCTCCAAATTTTCCCTTTTTATAAAGACAGTCATATTGAACTAGGAGCTGCCAAAGTAATAAACAGACACCTCATTAAATTAGAGTTGGGAGGCCAAAAGGGAGCGTTCTCACACCCTACACAGAGCCCAACAGGAAGAAGAAAGACTTTCTCTTCTTGACTGACAAGAAGCTCAGCCAATGAGAAACTGTCATAACTCAGCCAGTGGAAAGCCACTGCACCTCAAACTCTGTTTGCAATAGCCCGCCCAACTTCCTCTCCCCCTCTATAAAAGAGTTTCTCCTCTCTTGTTGGTGGAGGACTCTCAGGTGTCTTGGCATGGTTGCAAACCTTGAGTTGTAATTCTTTTCTGACCCTGAATTAACCCATTTTCATCAGAGAAACAACTGGCTGTCTATTTCTTTAAGGTCAGTGGAGCCCACCCTGCTCCAGTATGACATCATCTTAACTAATTACATCTGTAAAGACCCTATTTCAAAGAAGATCACATTCTTAGTTACTATATTAGAATTTCAACATATAAATACTGGGGAACAAAATTCAGTCCATAACATATCAGTAGTAATATCTCTTTTTAGTACTGAGTAATATTCCTTATATGGGTATTATAAGTTGTTTATCAGTCTCCCAGTTGAGGGACATTTGGGTTGGTTCTAGTGTCTGGAGATTAATAATAAAGCCTATCTAAACATTTGCCTACTATTTTTTTGTATGAACATAGGTTTTCATTTCATTTGGGTAAATATCTACGATTTGGATGGCTTGGTCAAATGGTAAGTATATGTTCAATTGAATGGAAACTGCCAAACCATTTTCTGACTATCATTTTGCATTTTTACAAGCAAAGTATTACAATTGCTTCACCTCTTTGACAGCACTTGATATTATAATGGTTTTAAAATTTTAATTTTAGTTTTATGTGTTCATTTTAATGTTCATTTCTTGCTCTTTCTGGGAAAATTCAAGATATTTCCTTGATAGTATTTGTCATTTAAATACCTTTTTGCCTTACCAAGACAGTTCTGGCCTGAGAATGCTTTTTTTCCAAGAAGGAAGATAGATCCATTATTTTCTCTGCACAGTCACCTGTGATTCCACACTTCCAAGACTTTTTCTATCTTTCTCAGTGCAGAGAAGTGTCGTGGTTACAAATTTGTTCAGTGAACACAGGTTGATTGTCTTCAAATTCAAGAAAATTATTTAACCTAGTCAAAATTCAGCTTTTCCTGTTTAAAGGGGAGATAATAATATCATGTAACACTTATGGACTTTCAAGAAGATTATAACCTGATGTAGATATAAAGTTGAGCACATTGTCTAGTGCATATCAGTAATTCCATGAGCCAATT